CAGCCCTCTAGCCTGCCTGTTTCCAGGTTGAGGGATATGCTGAACTGTTTTTGCAGGCTTCCAGAAGCAAGGCCTCCTGTGTTTACTTACTACTTGCAGACCTAACTAGGGCAGGATGACCAGACACACACTGTATTTGGGGAGAAAGTGCAGTTCGCTAAACACTTACAAAAATACCCAACACATATGTGATTGTTTATTTTTTTGAGGAAAGGGAAGAGATTCTCTATGTCCTTTTGGATAACAAAAATTTTATTGAAATAGTTATGCTAATAACTAGCAGAATGAAACAGAAGCTGCATTTGTGGCATTCGGTCACAAATTTGAGGCTACTGTAGGCTGTATAGCAAGCTCCAAATTTGCCCAGAGTACACGGTAAGAGACTGTCTAACAGAAGGAGAAGAAACAGAATTTTTATTCCTCTATGCCAGATTATGTATTGAAATACCAAGTACTGTTCTTTCATAATTAAATGTATCCAAGTATCGGACTGGGAGATGGTTTGGTGTGTAATATACTTGCTATGCAGGCATGAGGATCTGAGTTTGGATCTCTATAATCCACGTAAAGCCAGATGTAATAGCACATACCTGTAATATAAGTGTTCCTTTGGCAGAATGAGAGGTTGAGACAGGAGAATCCTCAGAAACTTGTGGGCCAGCTAGCATAATGTATAGAGAGGCAAACAAGAGACCCTTTCTCAAATGATATAGAAGGTAAGCCCTGATAACCAAAGGTTGTTTATGAACTGTACATAAACTATAGTGTGTGCACCTGCATGGAAATGCAAGCTTGTATGTGCATGCACACACGATTGCACACGCACGTGCGTGCATACACAAAGACTAAAGATCATTTCCTAGTTGAACTATGACGTTATTTTTTTTAAATGAAGTACACCCAATTTGTTGTACATTTGTGGCAGATAATTTCAAGAAAAGTTACTAGAGCATCACAGTGAAATAAATCTCTCTTCCTGTTTGCCAGTCTGACTGTGTGTCCCACATTGGAGGAATCAGGAGAGCCTCATTTATAAGTGAATTTCTTTTTTTGTTAATTTATTTTTTTAGTTTCATTTAACATTCCATTCACAGTTTATCCCCACCACTGCCTCCCCCACATTCCTCCCATCCTAAACCCCATCCACTCCTCCCAACAGGTAAGGGCTTCCATGGGAAGTCAACAAACTCTGGCCAAAGCCCAAGCCCATCCCCCCTGCGTTAAGGCCAAGTGTGGCATCCCACCATAAGGAATGGGCTCCAATAAACTAGCTCACATACCAGGAAGACAGATCCTGGTCCTGGTCCTACTGCCCCTACTGCCAGGTGCTTCACAGATAGTCCAAGCTTCACCACTGTCTCCCATATATGGAGGGCCTAGTTCATTCTCACGGAGGCTCCACAGCTGTCGGTCTAGAGTTCGTGAGTTCCCACAAGCTTGGTTCAGCTGTCTTTGTAGATTTCTCCATCATGTTCTTGAACTCCCTTGCTCATATATCCCCTCCTCCCTATCCTTGATCGGATTCCCAGAACTCAGCCTGGTGCTTGATTGTGGATCTCTGCATCTGCTTCCATCAGTTACTGGATGAAGGTTCTATGTTGACAATTAAGGTAGTCATCGATCTGATTACAGAGGAAGGCCAGCTCAAGCATCCTCTCCACGATTGCTTGGAGTCTTAGCTGGGGTCATTTTTGTGGATTCTTGGGAATTTCCCTAACACCAGGTTTCTCCCTAACCCCATAGTGGCTCCCTTTACCAAGATCTCTCTCCATTGCTCTCTCACTTCACCCATCTCCCCCTCGACCATCTCATTCCCTCAAGTTCTCATTTCCCATCACTTTCCCTTCACTGCCCCCCCCCCCAGTTTACCCAGGAGATCTCATCTAATTCCCCATCCCTGGGTGATCCATGTGTTCCTCTTAGGGTCCTCCTTGTTACCTAGCTTCTTTGGAGCTGTGGATTATGGCCTGGTTATCCTTTGCTTTACATCTAATATCTACTTATGAGTGAATATGTATTGTGTTTGTCTTTCTAAGTCTGTGTTACCTCACTCATCAGTGGATTTCAAATCTGTTCTGGCCACCTAAGAATGGGTACAACTAGTCAAAGAGATGCTGGATGTGACTGGGCCAGTAGATGGCATCAGATAACACAAAATCTCCTCAGCGTTTTGAACGGCTGGCCAGCTAGGCGGTAGATGTATCTGTTTCTTATTAACACAACCTCAGCTGCATCCAGCATCTGAAATGGTAATTAGCCTGGTGCCGTTGATACCCAGATTTGTTGAGGGTCTACCAGGAAATTCAGAGGGTGTGAAAACGATCATGTGTGTTTTAGGAGAATTTCACTGCCCCTGGTAGGTATTGGAACCTTCAGCGATTGCATATAGGAATAGAACTCTTTTGTTCTCAGTTTTGTATGGCAAGTGCATTTTTCCAGTTGAGCCATTTTGCTGGCCCCATGTATTTCTCCTTTTAAGGATCTTCTGTATTTTTTTAAATGTCTTCATGGCTTTACAGAGCATAGTCCATTAATTCATGCATAGTTCTCAAAGATGTGAGCCAAGAGATGCATTTTGTCCTACTTTTCTTCATTGATTCCCTCTAGCCTTGAAGGACTTCTAGCTCCTTGCACATAAATATAATCCTAGGTGCTGTGGAGAACGCTCTTCCATAGCATCCTGATGTGCTAACTAATGACTCTTCCATGGCTTTCCGCAGAGAAAACATTCTGAGACAACCAAGAAGGTACAGTCTCCCTACAACCATGCTCAGATTCCCTAGAGTATTATTTCTTCCCATTTATTAAGAGGAAGGGAGGGTGGAAAGAAAGGGAAAAGGGGAAGGAAAAGGAAAGCAAAGCAAAGCAGCTTCATTCTGTTACTGGAACTTCTCACCTTGAGCTCACACTGAAGGGGAAGGGACACACAAAACCAGCTAATGGAAGGGTAGCAAAGATGCCATAGACATTTTAAATCTCTTACAACAAATTTATTGCTACTATTTTAGAATTTTACTAATAGCAGTTTTTTTCCTGGACATTGCTCTCCCATGACACTGACTAGTATTTCAGGGCTTTCTAGTGAGGAGGTAGAAATAGTATCATCATGGGTGAGGCGTCTCCCTCCCTCCCTCCCTTCCTTTTCTGAGACAGGGTTTCTCTGTAGCTTTGGAGCCTGTCCTGGAACTAACTATGTAGATCAGGCTGGCCTCGAACTCACAGAGATCCGCCTGCCTCTACCTCCTGAGTGCTGGGATTAAAGGTGAGTGCCACCACTGCCCGACTGACATTTTCTTTACTTAGCCATATTTTTCCTCCCCTCTGCCCTCATATTCAGCCAGTCTAGTTTATTTATCTCATCAGTTAACCAAAAAAATGAAAATAATGTAGCATGAAAAACCAGCAGACAACGAAGAGCATGTGGTTAGAGCCTTCCTTATGAAGACTTTGAGGAATTCTATGAGGTACATTTCTGCTTTTATAATTTCTTAGTTCTGAGGTGTAATGAATTTGTCTGTTTTATTCCTTTTCTAGTTCCTGGAAAATCATTACAAAGTCAACATATTTTTTTTTACACCTTGCATACTTATTGAAACTATACAGGTCATTAAAAGATTTGTGTTATAACGTTTTTTTCGGTTTTATCTTGGTAAATAATCTCTCTTTCCACTTTCTATTCATTCTCTATGGATTTTCTGTTGTGCACCCCAGTTCCATTCATCTCCCTGTTCCTCCATATCCACCATCTGACCTTGCAACCTCCCCATAAAACAAAACAAACAAATTAACGGACAAACAAAAAAATTCTCACTGTGGACGCTGAGGGTGTCACACAGTGTACATTTTTGCCCAAACAGCTTTACTTGCAAGTGTTCATTGCAATGAGTCATTGAAGTAGTTCAAGGCTTCTGCAGGACTAGCCCCTACACAGGTTCTAGCAGGTCTTTGTTGGAGCAGCTGTTGGGGGATTGGGCCAACTTAACGACCTGGATCTGAGTCTAGGTGGTAGCTGAACCAGGGCCAGCTCTCCTGCTTTGCCAAGGGAGGGGTGGGGCCAGCTCTCCTATTTGTGGCAGCTGGCGAGGGGTGGACCTGTGGCAGCTGGCAAGGGGTGGGACCGCTCTCCTGTGCTCACCCATGGTGGCAATGGTCATGGACACTGGGCACGTAGTTGGGTGTTATTTTCCAGGCTGCCCCAGCCCACGGGGGCCAGGCCAGGCTGAAAATATTCTTTATTGTATACCATTCTTTAATATTTTGGCCTGTAGGAGAAAATGTGTAATCTCTTATTTACCTAAAGGTGTTCAGTGGGTTTTTTTCCCATTGTTTACTGGCTGAAAAATTGTCTACTGTGAGTTCATTTCTTTCTTAAACTGGAGAAGTAAAGATACCCTCATGCAGTGACTTTGAAGTCAAAGGGACCTTCTGTGGGTCTTCATGTGTGTGGCATTTCCCTGAAGGTATTTTGTTGTTGTTGTTTCGGGGGTACTGGAAATCAATCCTAAGGCCTCATGCATACTCCATCTTTTAAAAATGCACAAAGCAACAACAACAAAACAAAATAAGAGCTAGAAATGTACAAAACTCTGGGTTCCATCCCCATCAGTACATAAAACTGTGCACGGGGGTCCACTTGAAGACTCAGGAGATGGAGGCAGGCAGATCAGATATTCAAGGCTAACCTAGGGTACAGGAGACATCTCAAAAGCTTATAGAATTTCTAACTGGCAAACAATAATCATACCCATTTATGGAAGAATAAATTAAAAAGACTTAGGGCTGCTTTAGAGCCTGTGATTTCCACTCACATGGCAACTTGGTCATTAACAAACATCAGAAATAATGTGCATGACCATATCTAACAGGAAGCAGTTGTAAAACATGCTGTGTATCGGGTGCCAGCAGACGCCACTAGTTTCCTCTGTTGGATTCCTACTGAGGTGCCAGCCAGGAAGGTGTCCAGGATGCAAAGTCCCTCAGCGTCTGCATTTTTTTTCCAGGAAGAGTGATCCGAGTTGGAGGCCTCACTCCTGGCATGCCACCAAGGTCTCTGATACCTACCCAGAGCCAGCAGCCTCACTGTTTCTGAGCACCAGTGGGTCCCCTTCCTGGAAGAGCCAGCACCGGCTAGGTGAGTATTCTTTCCCTGAGACCAGGCACCATGTGTGATCTGTATAACTGTCACGTTCTGTGAATACTCAGACATTCCCACGAGTGTCTTGACTTCTGAGCAGTCAAGACCACCTCTGCTCAGTTAGGATTAGAACTGAATATTTCACAGCAAGAAAACAAAATGAAATGGCTAGACAAAGGATGAACAAGCTTGTTTTCTCTTGTGGTATTTCTTGTAGCACCCTGCATTTTTGGGATGAAGGCAGCTTGGTAATGGTGGATAACCTTTTGGATGTGGTTTTTTGTAATTGGATTCAGAGGTATTTTATCGAGAACTTTTATATCCATATTCTTTCAGAAGTAATTCTCTTTTTTGGTTGTGTTCTGTCCAGTTTTAGTATCAGGGGGTTGTTAGCTTCATAAAAAGAATTTGGAAATGTCCTTGCTTTAATATTTTATGGACTATTTGAGAAATATTGATGTTATTTCTTGGATGGTTTGATAGAATTCTACAGTGAATCCATCTGGCCCTGGGTTTTTGTAAGTTGGAAGATTTGGAAGGGCTTCAAGACATGGTACCCAGAAGGTTAACAGTCAGTGTGCCCTCAGAAATGCCTTTCCTCCCCAGTTCTCAATTAAGCTACTGTTGAGCATCCTCATCCTTCTTAGCATACGTTCACAATGCTGTTTTCCTGACATCTTGCTGTTTGCAAACCTTTTTTCTTTTTGTGCCCTTGTCCTCCTTAGCGTAGGTCCAGCTATGCTCACAATGCTGTTTTCCTGAGATCTTGCTGTTTGCAAACCCTTTTTTGTGTGTGCTTTTCCTTTGTAGTTCTTCCTCCCACGATTTGTCCAGCTCATGGGAGCACACAAGCCTACAGCGCACTGCTGAGCACTTCAGCTCTGTGGGCAGCTTAGACAGCCTGGACCGCGGCTCCCAGCTCTCCCCATCTGGACACCTGGGTGGCCACGGCAAGCGAGATTCTGCTTACGGTTCCTTCTCTACCTGTCCCGGCACCCCTGACCACACCTTGCCCAGGGCTGATGCCTCTTCCACTGAGAACATTCTCTACAAAGTTGGCCTCTGGGAGGCCTCCAGGCCAGGCAGCAGCCGACAGAGCCAGCCTGCAAGTGATCCTCAGGGATTACAGGACAGGCCTTCATGTTCCACACTCAGGGTTTTTGGTAACAGCAGGAAAAGCCCAAGGCCAGAGGATAATGTTGAGCCGAAAACAACCACTTCTGGAAGATCAAATTTTGGGCCTGTTTGGTATGTTCCTGACAAGAAGAAAGCCCCTTCTCCTCCCCCCTTTGCAGCTCCTTTGCTCAGTGATGGCTTTGCTGTGGCAGCTGGAGGCCGTGAAAAGACACGGGACCCTCCATTTTCAGACTTTACCACCCAACCCCGAGGGGGCCATAGACTGGAAATGACTGATGGACAGTGTCGGCTGGCACACCCAAGCAGTGGCAAAGAAACAGGAAGCTTGGGTTACCAGCAAGAAGGCCACCTGGATTACCGTTGGTTATCCTCAGATGATAGAGTGGGTGGATCCTCAGGGGTCCCGGGCAGGCACCACTTGTCCTTGTCCAACACAGATGTCCACTTCCTGACGTCTTACCGTGGGAGCCAGCAGAGATGGCAGTGCACTGATGAGAGCCCAAGGGTCCCCTCATCAACGAGGGAGCTGCCTCATAGGACTCCTGGTGGGGGTTTGCAGGAGCCTCCTGAACTCTCCCGGAATGATGCGCAGGTGAGATGGTCTGGTTCTGCCAACCAGAAGCTGGATGATAGAGGGCGTGGCCATTATTTCTGTGCACCCCCCAGGCAGCCTGTGCAGGGGTGTGCCCAGGTTGTGACACCCCGAGGTGACTTTGGGCATTCAGACACACGTTCTGTGGACCTTGACAATCGTCTCTTGCCCTCGATGGGCCAGAGGTGCTATCTACAAGAGCATGAGGAGATGCTGGCCTCTCACGAAAGAGAGGGATATCATCCACGGGATGCAGGGATTGAAGGTTCCTGCTCAGGGATCCAAGAGCCTCTTCAAGCCAGCCACACTGTGAAAGCCAGGTCGCAGTGTCCTGATGGTGACCTCAAGTCGGTGGATGGAGAACGTGGGAGGATTTCTCGTGAAAGGACACCCATGCTGCACTCTCTGACCCAAGGTGGGGCATGGAGACCCGAGAAGCCACCGTCGCTTGACGCCCAGGTGGGTAGACCCATGCGAAGGAGTGACCGTTTTGCCACGACACTGAGGAATGAGATCCAGATGCGCAGAGCGAAGCTACAGAACAGCAAAAGCACCGTGACACTTGCTGATGACTGGAGAGCTGATGCGGGGGCTGTCCCGGAAGGTTCCTTCCCCAGCACCTATAAAGAGCACCTGAAAGAGGCCCAGACACGTGTCCTGAGGGCCACCTCCTTCCACCGCCGTGATTTAGGTCCCACCCCAGCAGATCAGTATCTGGGACAAGCAGAACACAGGACTTGTGACCATACTGCCTCATCTTCTTTATCTTCCCCTGGGGAGCCAGACTCTGTCCCCAGCCTCTGGGAAGCAGGTCTGGCCAAGCCACCATCTTCTGGTGGTGGTGTGCCCCATCTTCTTCGAATTGGAGGCCGGAAACGGTTCACAGCGGAGCAGAAACTGAAGTCCTATTCTGAGCCAGAGAAAATGAACGAGGTGGGTCTGTCAGGGGACCACAGTCCTCATCCTAACATCAGGACACCTGAGGATACTGTGGGGACATTTGCTGACAGGTGGAAGTTTTTTGAGGAAACAAGCAAATCTCTTCTCCAAAGGCCAAGCCACAGGCAAGCTCTCTGTGGGCTTTCAAGAGGCAAGGCTGAGAGGCCACAAACAGGGGGCCGTGAATGTGAGGGTACAGAGTCCTGGTTCCAGAAGAGGTCACGGGCCACCTCCTGTGGAGAGATCCTCAGTGATAATGGACAAGGAGAAAAAGCTTCTGAGACATTGAACCCACCCAGAAGGCTTGGAACCTTTGCAGAATATCAGGCGTCTTGGAAGGAGCAGAAGAAACCAATGGAAGCCAGGAGTTCCGGGCGTTATCATTCAGCAGATGATATTCTGGATGCAGGTCTAGACCAGCAGCAGAGGACACAGTACATCCATGAATGGTCCCGGTCGTCACCGTCCACTGATCGCTACTCACAGGTAAGCAGCATACCGTGTGCCATGGCCTCGCTTGTACCACCTGAAGACACTTAGGGTGTATCCAGCATGTATGAGGGCTCACTGAGGTGCAACAGTGTCATTTGTAGTTTGAAAGATAAGGGAATGAAATTGCTTCCTTTGTGCAAACACATCTCTTTCATCCCCAGCTCCCCTGTTCTAAATTTCACTTCACTGTAATATTAATTTCACTGAAATGCTGTAATATTAACAGCCTCATTTTCTTGTTAAAAACAAACTACTAGTAATTTTCTTAGAAGATAACCTCCATGCTGTACACGGAAGGAGAGTTGCTTGCTTGCTTTTAGCATTTGGTACTGAAACTCCATGCAGACCCAGGGAGAGCTTGCTTCTGCCACTGCTACATTCTGACTTATCCACACACAGTTCAGTGTGATCTCTGAGAACTCCATGCCTTCTCTGTCAGGAGTCAGAATCCCAGCCCCCACAAGTCCTAGCACGTGAGGTTTTGCAATCATGACTTGTGGCCAGCTGTCTTTTATTGTGTTTCTTTTGGTCGATTGTGTCACATGGTAACAGCCCTCATGTAGGAGTCCTGTTTTCTGCTCAATGCAGAAGTCCGAGGTCAGTGGTCTCAATTAAGTGTCTTATGGAGTTGAACAGCCGTGTCCTGTGACCAGGTCTCAAGTCTGAGACAACAGGCCTTGCCAAGGGCGTTGTGGGACAGGCACACAAAGCAAACCCACAAATGAGGGGTTTCATAATAACAGTTGTCTCAGGCATGAAGGCAGCTTGATGAGTCTGTGTCTCATGGTGTCGCTCTTCACAGGAAGTGCCTGTTGAGCCAGACAGGCAGCCAGAGGACTCTGGCGGGCACAAAGGAGTACCACAATGTACACTACAGGCTGACGAGGGACGTTCTGCTCCAAGGTGGGTGAATTGCGTTTGCTGAAAAGTTGTGTTGAGTGTGAACATATTTATGGAAGGTGAATGGGATGTTAATAGGACAAGTCTTGGTTTTGCTAATTGAGTGTGATTTCCACCATCACTAAGATCTTAGAGTTTTTAAGCGAGAGATCCCGTGGGTTCTGCAGCCCTGCCCAGAGAAGCAGGGCAGTAATAGCCTTTAGTGTTTCTTAAAGTAGCTGTTGTGTTTTTCTTAGAGTGAAATGCTTTATTGGGTCAAAATAAATGTCCAGTTTATCCTCCTTAAACAGAATCTTTAACTGGAGAGATGCTTTTACTATCTGGCACACAGCTGTGTTTGTAGGCCACAGTCTCAGAATTGTCAGAAAGGATTTTGGTAAAGCTTTCTAAATTGGGCTTGTTTAATGAGTTAACTTGAAGCTTTAAAATAGAAGTCATCTGACTTCCCAGAGAAGGGAGGAGGGCGAGCAAGATCTGTGCTCTTACACTGTTGCCTGCAACAATTCCAGATTGTTGGGGGAGCATATAATAAGCTGTTCAGAGGATAGATTCGATTAGATGTGTATATAATAACCCTGGTGGAAAGATGAAAATCAGCACACACCAGACTTTCTTGAGGGAAGATTTTCCTAATGTTTTATACATCCTATATGGCCTAGCATACAAGGCAAATTAAACACTGACGTCAAAGGTCAAGATTCCACTGTAGAAATAACCAACTTAGATATATGCTTTCAAGAACTTTATGTAATGGTGTCTTATTTCACACATTTTTACACTAACTGTTGTTATCCGTATTCAAAACTATCCCACGTTTATTTGGTTGTGAAGGGACCAGATTGATACTCTGTGTGCCTGCCTCAGAAATCCCTGCAATTACTTAACAGTCTGCATAGCTAAACTGATGGAAGCCTGCGGAATAATCTGCCTACGGAATTTAACAGTGTCTGAAGAGGACAATTAGAGCTTTATTCCTGGGCTCTGAGTCAGTCACGTGCTGAGCAGCAGCTGTGCAGGGTAGGGGGCAGAGAATGTCACCATGGACAGCTATAATGTGCATGAGCTGTGTGTGCACACGTGATTATTTGTGTCCACAGCTCTGTCAGCACTCACAGGAATAGGAGGAAGGGAAGAGGGGCCTTCGCCTTATTTATCATGGCTGTGTCTCTCAGCTGGCTGCTTAGTGACTTGAAGAGATTAGTTCCAGAAGCAGCCTGCTTTTGAGTTTCAAACCTAGCAGTTTTCAGGATTGCATTTTGTGTGTGTGTGTAGTAATAAGGGCGGCGGGGCTGCGTCCCCAGCATCCCGGCCGCCTGCACGGCTAGCTTTACCTGAAATAATTACACGGACACTGTATTCTTTTAAACACTGCTTGGTCCATTCTCTTCTAGGCTAATTCTCACATATTAATTTAGCCCATTTCTAATCATCTGTGTGTAGCACCCCAAGGTGCGCTTACCGGGAAGATTCTAGCCTACGTCCATCCTGGGTCGGAGCTTCATCGCGTGTGTCTGCCCAGGAGAGGAGAGCGGAGCATGGTGTCTCTGTCTGAGGCGTCTTACCTCACTTCCTCTTCCTCCCAGCATTCTGTTCTGTTTACTCCACCCACCTATGTTCTAAGCTATGAGCCCAAGCAGTTTGTTTATTACTTAACCAATGAAATCAACAGATTGATATATGACACTCCCACATCGTGTGTGTGTGTGTGTGTGTGTGTGTGTGTGTGTGTGTGTGTTGAAGAGAGGCAAGGATATTGAAATTTTGGAATAGGAATGTTAGGTCATTTTCAGCTTTTCCTAGAGTATATGTTTCTAGAGGATCAACAAGAAATAATATGCTGGGGCTGGAGAGATGGCTCAGTGGTTAAGAGCATTGCCTGCTCTTCCAAAGGTCCTGAGTTCAATTCCCAGCAACCACATGGTGGCTCACAACCATCTGTAATGAGGTCTGGTGCCCTCTTCTGGCCTGCAGACATACACACAGACAGAATATTGTATACATAATAAATAAATAAATATTTTTTTTAAAAAAAGGAAAGAAATAATATGCTTGAGAAATAAAAGGATCATAAAAATAATAGGCAGTCTAAAATGCAGAAGTATGAAAATACCTAGTGACCTTGCATAGGTTTAAAGTAACATAAACATGTCTCTATGGGAAATGAATTATTGATCTGGTATTTGATACTTGAAATAAAATTTTGTTGCATTCTGTTGAGATCATACAAAAATGTTGACATAGGAGTTATTTTTATTTGCTGATTATTCACCAAAGTCCAAACAGAAATAACTTTTTAATATAATTTTTTTCCTATTTTTTGCGATATGATGTCACTTCCCACCCAGAAATTCCCTGTGTAACACAGGTTGGCATCAGACTTGTGCTGATCCTCCTACTTCAACACTTTCTGGGATGACAGGGATGAGATATCACATCCCACTAATAACATCTTTTTTGTGCATGTGTGAAGGATAAGCTCCTGCAAGACCATACCATGTAATGGGGAAAGAATTACAAGTATCTGTAACTGAAAGGAAACTACTTCATTCTTTTTTTTTTAACTATGTGAGAGCAACATGTGGCATATGTCTGTAATCTCAGCACTCAGGAGGCTAAGAAGGGAGCTTGTACATTCAAGATGAGCCTTAGACTATAGAACAAAACCATGTCTCAGAATTAAGAAACAAACATAGAAAGGTACATGGCACATGAGAAATCATTAAAGTCTGTTGGATTAAGGGGAAAACACATTGTAGCTGGGTAGCCTGACCACAAGGTAGCGGATACAGTGGCATTTTCTCCCTTCCTCCATCACATCTGGTCCCAAGCGGCCCATCTCACATGTTCTGAAGACATTTTTCTTAGAGGTTCCAACCGTCCTCAGAGATTTCATGCTGAATCCTCAAGTTTATTACAGCCAGCTGGGTCTGTTTCTTGCAAATGCATTCAATCACTGATATGGGAGTCCCTTAAAGACTCGGTGTCTGATTTCTCAATGACTGTTATTAAAAAGTGGTCTCACAGGGACTGGTGAGATTTTCCAACTAGTAAAAGCCCATGCCACCAAGCCTGCAGACCTAAGTTCCATCCTTGGAATACATAAAGTGAAAGGGGGAGAAACAACTCTTGTAAGTTGTCCTCTGATTGTGTGTGTGTATGTGAATAAACAGAAATGCAGTGGAGACATTTTTAATGTCCTATAGCCTGGATAGCTTAAATAGTAAGCACTGATTTCTTCCCAGCCCTGGAGGCTGAAAGATCAAAGGGAGGGTGGTTCCTCCCAATGCTTCTCTAACTGCTGTGTAGACGCTAGCGTCTTACTGTGCCCTCATTTGCTTGCATTGTGTATCTCTGTTTCCTAATCTCCAGTTCTTACAAGGACACCAGCCAGATTAGTTTTTAGTAATCCTACTGACCTCCTTTCTCCTTAACCACCACTCTAAATGTCTTGTTTGCCTACATAGCTATATTCTGTTAGGGATAAAAGAATAGAGGTCATCTAGACCATGTGTGCTGCTACTTACTGGCTTGATCCCAGGGCATGGTGTGCCCTTTTTTGTGGAAAGAAATTGTCATGCTAAGTTACTTTCACTTTGTTAGTATGTTCCTTTTTGTGACACCAAATTAGTCTTTCCTAACATCTTCAAAGTCGATGTCCATCATACTTTGAACAGAGTTATCCTCTGCAGACTGGGATACTGGGAGCAGGATTCAATATCATAGATATATTTCCACACCATTGTCCTATTATCTAAACTCCTCCTCCTCGTTCCTGGTGAGCAGTTTGGAAGAATAGGATTTTAATTTTTCTTTGCTGTTTATCACACATGGTTCTTACACAGATTAGGTGCCAAATAAGTGGTTGGTGGATGAGTGCATTGGTGAATGGATAGATAGGTGATAAGTGTAGAGATGGGTATTTGAATGGATGAAGGATGGGCACTTGGATGAATAAGCAGAGGGATAGAGGGAGGAATGAGTTAATAAGGATGGGTATTGCATTACAGTGTGTGTGTGTATGTGTGTGTGTATGTGTTTGTGGCTTTTTAATCAGGTTCATTGGGCATGACAGGTGGCAACAGAGAAATCTTAACCTCCACAAACAAGCACAGGCAGAATCAGCAGTTGAAATGCATTTATTGCGGGTGAGGAAACATATATATGAAGCAGACACATAGAGAAAGTAACCCTCTCTGAAGCCTACTGGGGATTCGTGAAACAAAAAAAAAATCCAGACTGTTCTTAACAAGAGAAAAAGCCCACAAGGCCTTTGTTTTGAGCTATCAGATTTTTGTCTCAGGTCAGGAGGGTGAGGAAGAAGCAAGCCATCTTGGAAGCTCACTATCTTCAGTACCTAGCTATGGCCTTTCTCCCTACATGATGGCCTGCCAGAGAGTCTTTCTAACTCCCAGGCTCTCAGTTAGATAAGTGGTTGTTTGGATGGATGAAAGAGTAGATAGATGGTTGGAAAATTGAATGGATAGACAGATGGATGGATAGATGGATAGATGGGTGGGTGGTGGATAGATGGATGGATAGACAGATGAATGGATAGATGGGTAGGTGGATGGATGGATGGATGGATGGGTGGATAGATGGATGGATGGATGGATAGACGGATGGATGGATAGGTAGGTGGGTGGATGGATGGATGAGGGGTTTATAAAAGGATAGATAGATCGATGGATGTTGGGTGCATAGATGAATGAATGAATGAATGAATAGACAGACGGAAGGATAGATGGATGGACGGATGGACAAATGGATGAATGGATGGAGATCAGTTAATGGTTGGGTGCATGGATGATGGATGAATGAATAGACAGAGAAATGGAAGGATGGATGAGTAGGTGGATGCTTGGTTTGGTAGATGAGTAGTTTCCTGTCTTACCTTCCTTGAGTTCTAGATCAGCATTCCATGGTAGTACATGTTCTGGGTTAAAATTTTGCTAAAGATTTTAGTTAGATGCTAGTAAGTGAAATGGGCCATACCATCTGCACTT